ATCGTTTTGCTCAGCTCACTTTCTGAACCAGCGATTGACGGGTGCTTAATTGTTATGATCTCGGCGAGAGGCGAAAGCGTGCGGCTGGATAAACCGGAGACTTGCCACGCTCCCCAAACAATATGGAACGTGGAGAAACCGTGGGAGCAATCCTTGGGTTGGGAGTACTGAATGTATATCCATGAAGCTCACTCAACACCGCATGCTTTACTACATTTTATGTAACTTTTTCTTCAAGAGGGAACTCTGTAGAGGGACAACTGTCATGTTTGGAAGAATTAGTCTACAAGTTGTACTTGCTTCTTTTGATTTTTTTACTTCGTAAGCCGTTTGATCCCTTTATGCGTATGTAAATTACGCGATAGAGGTATCTTTCGGTTAATGATACCGCTTCCTCCCTTGAAAACGCCCATGAGGCTACTGCACAGGAAGAGTCTACTAAAAAAATATCCATAGATGTCACTCTTTGATCATAATCACCAAAATTCATTAAGATGCTACGTCCCCAACGAGTAATGGAACTAGGCGTGAGGTACTGTAGCTCCGCAGTGTACGCAATGGCACGCAGCCGCAGCTGTGGGAAAGAATGGCGCCGTCATCGGTTTTGATTTTATCACTTTCGGAATTAAACATAATCATTCACTAAGCCTATGCCTTTTAATAACGAGCATGCTGTCAGTGTAATCATTCTACCGTTTTGGGCCGCGTTCATACATAAGATCTCGGGTGCAGTTGTGTATGAAGGGACTTAAGATCTGTGTAGTTAGTACTATAGGTGTAGCAAAAGATCTGTGTAGTTAGTACTATAGGTGTAGCAACATTTCAAGCAAAATTTTGAGCAACTAAACTTGCGCAGAACATTGAGATTGCATTTGTATGTGGATTGTAATTCAGTAAGTTGTAGGTCAAAGGCGATGGCGCTTAAGATGAACTCTAAAAAAACGGCAGGAAAAGCAAGCGTACAGGAACCGGAGACAGATGAAGAGGTGAGTGGTCTGTTTTACGTCTCTAAATAAAACGGCGAACCTGTTTACGGTAAAGAGAATTCTGTCCGCATGTGGTTCCTCAGTTTGGTAAAAATCCTACCACAAAAATTGTTGGTGCCAGTTCCAAAACTTTAATATATCAACTAGGGCGGCCATTGATGGAAATGTGCTTCTGTCTTTTAGGACTATGAAGTCGCAGATCTATCCGCAATTCCAACCCCAAAAGTGGAGTTTGTAATGCCTAATCTGACGCCATTGGATAGTTGCAAAGTAGAGGTACTATCTTACGGTTACAGTTTAGTTTATCTTGTTTTGTTGTAAAGTTGGTGCAAACTAGTTCAATTTGTAGTATCCCTCTAATTTTTGCCGGCAACCTCACGTTTCTCAGTTGAATTATTGGACAAGTAAGTTATTTGACAGATAATGTGGGCATTGATTCGCTAGTCGTTTTACTTCATCCTTTCTTGTTATGTTCATCCTGTTCGGGTTCTATGGGGAAATCCACTCTTCTGTTGAGTATTAAAGTGCATTCATACATTGTGTCAGTTGGCGTACGCCGTTTAAGTCGATACCTATACTTTCCTAGGACCACGTTCCGACTTCGCGATCGCGCGACCACGACGGGGGCGCTCTACCGCCAACAGTAGAATTAAATCGGACCGCGTTCGCGTAGTGCTCATTTGGTTTGTGCCGTTGCGGCGGCGCACAGCTTACGGTGAAGGGCCCCCGGGTCGTGGTCGCGCGATCCAGTCGAGCGATTCCATCGAGCAAACAAGTCGAGCGATCGCGAAGTCTGAACGCGGTCTATTCGCTCAAAACGTTCAAAACACTTGCGTAGGCTCAACGCTGATACGAACGCTGTTAGCAAGACCTGCAATAAATATTTCGGCACTTTTTTGACGTATTTCCTAGCGGTGTTTCTTAGTGTAAGTAACCATCAGGTCATGCCAGTATCTGCGCTTTTTGGCCTTGCAGTTATAAATAGATAGTAATATGTCCTTGGCGTTCATTTTATTCGTGAAAAGAACCGTGGACTATCTGACATGCGTTTGCCAACATGTGCTCGTAAGGAAATGTTCAGAATGTGGTCAGACCAAATGAGATATACGTGAAGATGCGAGGACTTGTTTTTGCTGGGGATTTCGTGCTTGTTTTGGAGAAGTTAAAAGCTAGCTAGCTTAAAAAGTTCTTGTTCAATAGCTACATCTTGAGTAGTGTCTATGTCATTCTCACTATTAATCAAATTGCTCAAGTGTGCGGACTTGGTGCTTTCCTTGGCCCCTGTACCGTTCCTTGTCGAAATGGCCTTGTACTTGCTGTTTTCGAGGGAACGTTACTCCACAGTAATTGTTCGCAGCTCTCATGTAGAATCTTGCTACCGCTCTTCCGGATCCAGAAATCCACTTGATGGCTGGTCTAGTTTAGCAGTTATCACGCCTTCGTACAGCCCACTCGGCTTATCTTATTTTTGATACTTTGTCATATAGAGCACGGCGTAGCTCATCCTTACGCGACATCGCATGTAAACTTTCAGAGTATTTCTTAGCTACTCGGCTTGACAAACCGCAGTGTTGCTACATTGAAATGATTGGGTCCTGATGCGAATGATCCCACTTGCTACGCCTCTTTCGCCTCTCCCGAGATGCCTCAGATGTGCTTAAGTGAGCTAAAACTGGGGGAGTCCCTGATACGTGGTCGCTGAAGCAGTGCGATCCATGTAATTCACTTCTGTTTTGTCCTCTTCACATAGCACTGATAGCAGGCTGCTTTGCTGAAAGTACTGCTCGCCACGCGAAATCTTGTTGGCTGAAAAATCTTGTTGGAGTAAAGCTTCATCGTAATGCGCACTGTCGTTTCAACGTTTGTTGTCTCAACAATGTGGTTCGCCTCTTCTGAACCGGTCAAAACCCTTTCTTTGGCTTTTCATTATTGAAAAAATGCATGAGGGGGGGGGGGGGGGG